TGTATATATATATTGTATATATATATATATACATACATACATACATACATACGCTGTTGATACGTCAAATATATTATATATGTGACTATCAACAGCGTAAAGTATTTGTTAATTTTGTGTCAAACACTGTAAAGCGCCTCTAGCGGCCAAAAAAAGATCTAAAATTTTCCAAACAAATATTTCCAGTACTCAATACTTTATTGCATTCTTAATAGTTTACAATGTAGCAGGTGGACACGTTTAAATTAGAGCTTTGGGACCCTTTCGGGCATAGCAAAAACACAGAGAGGGCAACATTTAACAAAATAAAATCTTCAAAAAACCTTACAAGAAACAAAATACGATTTACACAAAAAGACAATTTTTAAATCTCAAATAAAAACTATTGCAATACTATGTTATTATTTTGAAGGATTAATAAATATCTACATATATATGTTATTAACAAAAAAATGGAATTAATAATAATAACAAAATACTACGGTAGCATTTATGCCTAGTATTTATACACGTATGTTAACTAAATACACTGTGTACATTAATTATTTTAATAGGAACATATGTATTGCTTTGACGTTTAAGTATTCGTTACGTTGTAGTAACTTTTACTTACTAAAATTTTATTCAAGTATGATGTAAAACTGTTGTCACTGGGTTTTTTTTTTCAAATATGATGTAAAACTGTTGTCTCTGGGTATTTCTTTTATGGAGTTTGGTAACTTATTATAAATTTTTATAGACATTACAAATAGAGTTGATGAATGGAGAGAAAGAGTTGAATTTGGTAACATAAGTCTGGTTTAGTGTCGAAGACAATAATTTGTGGGTCGTTTTCAGATAACCTCCAAAAATGTGTCCCTTTCAATAATTTTTATGTTATTACATGAATGCTAAGCATTATTTATTTAATATGATTGCTTGCTTGCTTAGTCCGTGTTACACATAAAAGGACTACTTTACTACGTCACAGTAATAAATAAAAATTAAAAAAAATTCTAAAAGGGCAATTTCTCATTCATGGGAGCCAGTTCCACGTCGCCCTAAATTTAAGAAAAGAAGAAAAAAATTAAACACTCGTGGAAATCGCAATATTTCTCATCGAGGATAAACTCTAAATCTCTTACACGTCGAATACATACGGTAACTTTCCAATTTATTATAAGCAAACTTGTTTTCTTGGGGATACAAAATGAGTTTCAATTTTCTTGTCATTAGTGTCAATTCAAGTAAAAGCCTCCTAATAACAAAAGTTCATACCGCATCACCTTCACCTTTCGCACGTGAGAAGGGGCTCCTGTCGGATTGGAGTGTACACAGTGAAGTAACCTGTGCATCTTCGTTTTAGCAAAAAATCGACTTAAATACCAATTTCAGCGCTAGTGAGTAAATCGTTCTCATTAATGTAAAGCAATCTATCTAAATGAGTATTAGGTAACAGTTTTATAAACTTTATTGTACATCAATTAGACAAAAGGAACTTTAAAATCCATGCACTTTTATAATGGTCCAGCATATTTTACACACTTAGACAATTGAAAATGTATCCAAATATCATTATTGTCGCTCTCATTCTTGTCTACTTTTAAGTCAAATAGTTACTTTAAGCCAAACATTTACTTGAAATATAACAATTAGATGGTGATAGTGGTGGTGATGATGGTGATGATGGTGATGACAATGATGATGACGATGATGATGACGATGATAATTGTAGTGATGATGACGATGATTGTGATGATAATGATGTGAATGGTAATGATGCTGATAATAAAGGTGATTATGATGATAATGTTGATGGTGGTGATGATGATATATTGATATACAACAAAGTTTATATGACATTAACAAAATACTTATTCAGATTTATTTATTAATTACATATAGATAGATAGATGGTCTTACACGGATCAGAAGGATTTAGAATAGAATAGAATAGAATAGAATAGACATTTATTGCAACGCCACAACACATAGATACAAAAAAAAAAAAAAAATTAGATACAAGAAGTTATATTAAAATATTTGTTACATGTTAAATGTACTTTTGTGAACGATAAAATGTGTGTTGTAATAATAACTTCTCATTACTGTGCCGTCTTTCTCATTTATGTTTATGAGAAAATCATTCGTGTTACCGCAATCTCATTCGTGTGACCCAAAATATCGTTTCTTGTTGTATTTAACTTAAATATTTCTGTGATTTTATAATTATTGACATTGCTTGAACTTATTTGTAGAAAAAAGTGTTTTATAAAAATCACCCAAAAAGTGCCATTGAAATTCGGAAAGTGAAATTTACCCTTGTAGGTATGTCTTGCCGTTTTTTATAGAGTTTAGGATATTTTCTGACAAACTTACAGGATTCAAAAATGTTAATGCATGGTAAAGTTAAAATATTGTATTTTGGAAGTAGGGTTTGCAACTTTCGGTTATGTTCGGTTTCGGTTATGTTAGCTAGAATTCTCATTATTTTTTTCCAAAATTGAAGGAGATTCAATGCTGTTTCTCCACAGCATTACACCGTAGTTGAGCCACGCATAGGCATATGCGTAGTAAGTGGTGAGCGCGGTTTTTAAATCAGTTGTTTTCTTTATTTCGCCAAGTGCATAAGCAAATCTGCCGATTTTAGACCTTAGAATTTTTGAATATGTGGTTTCCAATTGACATATGTGTCTAACACTAAGCCTAGCAAAGTAAAGTCTTGAACGTAATCTAAAGGTATGTTGCTGAAATTAAAGTGAATATTTAAGTTATTCTTTTGGTACGGATACCGATCCCGATCTCTCTATCGACAATAATCACCATAAACTCGTGGTAGAAGTACAGATTAAGCAAAATTATTTTTTGTTACAGAACCAGTAGTAAAAGTTCCAAACCAGCACGGTAATCTGATGCCTCAGTTTCTCCCGGATCCCCGGCATGGGTTTCTCTACATGTATGGGCCAAGAGGAGATCAACAAATGCTGAAGAAGCTGCCCTTTACCATCCCGGAACTGGTCGCTAATGCGCCTTGTCGCTCTACTGATGGCATTTTGTACACAGGGAAGAAAAGTGATACGTGGTTTAAGCTTGACCCTTTAACTGGAACCAGGGAGCACGTATCTGGTAAGCTACATTATTGTATTTAACACATACATATAGTTTATTTTAACTTTAAGTAGTAGAGGTCCTTGCGAAAAAGTTCATCCAGGGAAGTACTGCCACTATTTCTGTCGCCAAGCTGTAATATGTGCACTAGAGCATTTCGGCTTTGAAGGGGTAAGGTGCTGGTGAAACTAGTCCCATATTTAAATAAATAAAGTTAAGTAAGTAAATTACCTTTGTTTCTTGTTAACAGTGTTGGTTACTCATTAAGTCACTATTTGTGGGTTATAGCTATGTACTATTTGTAATGTGCAACTGTTGTAAAAAAAATATTGAGGTCATCAACCTCAATTTCTTTTTTATAATGCCAAATGACGGGACAAACAAGTTGTGTGCTTGGTGGTAAACGACATGCCTATCCATAACGGTTGCATTGCCTCTCAGAGCTTTAAATTGCAAAGATCTTAGGGACACTGCCCCTGCGTCAGTCACCCTGAGACATAAGTTGACAAGTCCCTCGAGCCTGTAACTTCACCAGCTCCCTTACTCTTCTAAACCGGAACGCAGTAATGTTCACATTACTGTTTGGCGGCAGAAATAGGTACTCTTTCACAGGGAGCTTTATGTCTCAGGGTGACAGACGCAGTGGTAGAGCCCTTCAGATCTTTGCGATTTATAAAGATCTGAGTGGCACTGCATCCGTTATGGGTAGCCGTCTCGCTTACAATTAAGTGCAAGACTTGATTGTCCTGAAATTATATATAATAAAAAAAACCCATTTATTTCAATTTAGTACACTATGTTTTATTTACACACCAGAGGTCAGATAAAGTAGAGTACACTTACCTAAACTTCAAAGAAGTATTACATATAGATCTGATAATTCCCTCTGAAATTTCGGAATGATTGTATTGTATTTTCTTATACATTTTGTAAGTAGCAAATAGAATAAAAGTTTTATTATAGTAAGTAAAAGTATAACTATTTTGTTTTGATTACTTCGCGTTTTATTTTTATCATTCCGGGATTTCAGAGGGAGGTGTTATGTACTTTGTGTATGAATTGGAGTTTAGGATACTTTTCTCAGACACGTTAGGAACTGTTTGCATTACTTTATAATCTCAGTATAGAGTACTAAAAAACCGACTTCAAAAGTCATTCATCCCCTAGTTTACCACCCTTAGAAGTGGAATATTTTCTTCAAATTTAAACGGCACCATTATTGAGGTACCCTCTTTGCAACAAAAATGATCAAAATTGGTTCACAAATGCTGGAGTTATCATGTAACATTCATACAAAATGCTCATTTAAAGAGAAACCAATACTGTCAAATCAGAAACTGGACCTTTAGAAAATTGGTTACATAGTTTTTGATATGGAACTACAAAATAATTTGAAGTTTCTAATTCTTTAGTTTGTAGCCAACAAAGTTTTTTCTGAGTATTCTCCCTGGGCTCGTTTTGTACATACATACAGAGAACTCTCCACCGATAAAAACTACTTGATCCATAATGCAGGCGGTGCAGAAACGTATTCAATTATTTAGGACGGTCACTCGATAAATCAATAATTACAGCCATAACGCAATGTGCACTTAGGCATGGATTAAGGTGCATTTAATAAATTGTCATTTTTCCAAAGATTAAATTTGAACGCTATGCAAATGTCATAAGGTATAATTTTTTAACAAAGAATTTTAACATATTGTATAGCATGTATATTGTATAACATAATGACATAATGTATTGTAGACTACACATACATTCATGCATCGTTTCGTATTGGAGTATAAAGAAGTCGTAAATAATCTTTTCACACTAGAAATCTGCGCGCAAAAGCGTTTTTTTTGAAATTCGAACTTGACTATGGACTGTGGTGCACCTAACTTTTTCTTTCAAATAAAAAAGATAATGACATGTTCAACTATGTGACTTGTCGTACATTACCGATTTATGTAATATCCGTTGGTATATTTTATTCTTATTATTGTTGACATTAAATTCACAACGATAACTAATTTTGTTTATTAAAACTAATTTGTTATAGTTCAACTGTTTTTTTCAACTACCATTTTTCTCGCTAAAGTGAGGTGAAAAGTTGTGTGATTCGCTCGCAGCAAAGTTGTTTCGTGTCTTGAAACCTTCGTTACGCTCAGGATTCTAGTCCTACCTTCCTTTGCTTGCTCTGGTTTTCAATACAAGCACTTGCGTCAAACAACAATTTTGGAGCCTTGCATAGCAAATATCTATGGTTTATTTATGTGGTCTATTAGCAGTAGAGTATATGGATTTTATAATTTATAAAATAAATTATTACGTAATAAAAAAGTATTCTTTTAGTAGCCGTAGATGTCCTTGTGAAAGAGTTCGTCCAGAGTAGTACTGTTCTACCTTACGTATTTCTGCCGCCAAGTGGTAATGTGTGCATTATTGCGTTCCAGTTTTGAAGGGTGCTGGTAAAATCACAGGCACATGGACTTAGGTTTCAGATCTTTGCGATTTCAAGAGCTGAGTGGCACTACAACTGTTATGGAGAGGCATGTAGTTTACCATTAGGTGCACGACTTGTTCGTCCCGTCATTTGATATTATAAAAAAAAGTCACCCTAAGATCTTTACGATTTAAAGCTCTGAGTGGCACTGCAATCGTTATGGATAGTCATGTGGGTTACGACCAGGCGCAGGACATGTTCGTCCTATCACTTGGTATTGGTAATGGTAAAAAAAAGTATACGAAATTATGAAGGACATATTAACCAAAAATAACGGATAACTCACGTATTTAAGTCGAATTTTTTGCTCGACATGTGTCGAACCAATTTGTGGTCCTGGAGCAATTTTTATTGAATTGATGTTCAATTATTTTTTATGAAATAATTCCACGAGTTTGTTATAATTATTAATACAAAGATCGAACACTCAGAAAAAATACCTTCAGTCCGGCCGGATTCGAACCGACGTCTTCTAGCTTACCGTGCCAGGCGCTATACCAACTAAGCCACGGAACGAACTAGCGGACATCACGAATGTTTCTATGTGCTTGCGTCGTATCCTTCGTATTTGGATTTTTCAACGACTTTTTAGTCGTAGCGCCATTTATGAGAAATCTATGAAAGTTTTATCGCCCAGTTAGATATCTTTACAGTTACAAGCCCTGGCGAGAGATGTCGCTATTCACTGTATTTAAATTTCGAATCCGGCTGAATCGAAGGAATTTTCGAAGGAGTATTCGATCTTTGTATTAATAATTAAAATATTTCTGTTTTTTTTGTCATGTTTTTATAGTGATCCCAAAAAATTTTTCATTCATTTCGTGATGATAAAAAATCTTAAGCACAGTAACTAAGGCTGATCATGATAAGTAATTTCTTTGTACGATATCTACCACGTTGTAGACGACCAAACGAACTTCTTGAAGTGAAGTTTGATCACTATTATTTCATTCGAAGATATAATATTTAACCAGGTAGTTAGTTTCCTTAACTTGCTAGCAACACCGCACAGGTTTTAGAGAAAAAAAAAAATGTTTTGACGTTGACACTCCCTACCAGGCATCAGAGGAGTTTCAGAATCTTTACTTTGATGTGACGATGTCAAGGGTGGGAGCGTGTTGATTATATTATCTTCGAATGAAGCGACTCACATAATAGTGATCGAACTTCACTTCAAGAATTTCGTTTGATCGTCTATTATGTTTCGTCGCTTCATTCTCGATATAATATTTAACCAGGTAGAGTTTTAGAGTATTCAGTTTTGCTTCTAGTTGATTTTATGTAAATTAAAAACCAGAGGCTTACAGTCAATTCGGGTAACTTTGAATCGTGGTGTAACTTTGAACGTAGTTGCGTAAAAGATTTAAAAATTTATTTAATGTATGACAATCTTTTATTTTTAGTATTGAAACTGTGTAAATCGGAACAAACTTGTTAAACGAAAGTTATGAAAGAAAAAAGTAATGTTTAATTGTATTTTTTTAAACTTTCGCGGTTTTTTCTTGGCGAAAGTAGTTTGGTGTGATTTGTTGGTCAGTTTTAGAATCGTAATTAAATATATAAATCTGAATATTGACTGGTAAGTTTTGGTTTCCATACTTAAGTAGAGGTTTATATATCGCTTTTTTAAAGAATAATTTAATTTGCTTTTTTGTATTTACGCGTAAAACGAATTAGATTTTGACGACGTTACCAAACAGAGAAATTTGGGTAACTTTGAATGTGTTTGACTGTGTTTTTAGAGAAGAGGGTAGTCTGTTTCCAGGGAGAGTTCTAAAAGTTACTCCTTTGGAAATTACTGTCTCAGTGCTCCAAAAATGCTTTTTAGGAGGTTGGTCTTGGCCCTCTAACGTTGAGACATGTCAAGTTAATAAAGCCGATATTGTGAATATTATAAAAGAGCAACAGCTATCTAGAAAAAGCGGCCGTATTTATATTGATGACGACATTTTATTCAATGAGTGGGGTGAATAGATTTTTGTTATGTATTTACTTTGCCTAAAATAATTGTTATAGTTGATTCATTTTAATCTCGTTTGATAGCTAAATAAGCGTAAATTTATTATTAAACAGAAAATTTTCATTTTTATTCGCATTAATTAAAAAATCTAAAAAAAAACAAGTTTTTCATTTCAACTAAATTAGTTCGTCTCGTTTTATTATGGCAATACCAAGTCAAATGTCGTTTTTGAACGCACTGTCAGGAATATTTGGACAGATTCACATCTAAAAAATATGAATATGTCGTATAATCTTCCACAAACTGTAAAATATCTAGAAAATATACGGTTTGAATGTGACTTTTGGAGCAAATCTGGAACAGTTTTGTTGAATAATTACTAAATTCCTTCTATAAGAACGAAAAAAGGGCTTAAAAGAACACTATTCAGTTAATAAAGTAATTGTTAAGAAACATAATTAAATTCGATAACTATATTATATTTTTATTAAAAATATATATAGATATAAAGATATATCGGTTTCTCTCCTGAGATCACAATCATAACAATTTTTAAATCGTATATTCATATAATAATTTTATAATTAAAGACTATTATTATTATTACTTTAAAATAGTATAATTTGCCGTTTTATTATGTTGTAAGCAAATGGTTCTCACGAATGTGTGTTCGTCTTTAGTAAGTTAAGTTAGTAAGTCGTCTTCTACTAATCTATATAAGCTTTTGGTGTTGCCTAGCAAGTTAAAGTGTTGCCTAGCAAGTTAGAGTGAGTGAGTGAGTGAGTGAGTGAGTGAGTGAGTGAGTGAGTGAG